CATAAAACTCTTCATTAAGGCTTACTCAGCGGCAGCTCTTTGAAGATGGGACCTTTAAGACACCAACAGACAAACAAGAAATATTCAACAAAAGGAGGATTAAAATAGATTAGCTCCATGACTGCAACTGCTGCTTTAAAAGTCAACTTTGTCACAGTTCTGCCTTTTGTTTACTTTTTTTCCCCAGTCCAGTTCCATTTCTCAGTCTGTTCCGGTCCTCCTTTTGCCACCTCCCTCCTTTCCCTACAGCTGCCCTTCATTCTGTAATCAGCCCAGGCCCAGTTTATATATACTCCCTCTTCTCCCTCAGTCTTTGCCAGATTGTCAACCTGTAAAGACAGACACTCAAGCTCCTGAAAACCTGAAACCTGAAACCCTATTCCCTGAATCTGTTCTGTTTGTGACCTCTGCTATTCTGTATTTCCCTGTTTGCTGTTCCTGTTCTTGAGTTTACTCCCAGTCTGTTTTTTACTAGTGTATTCCCAGTCTTGGAAGATATTTTCGTTCACATTTAATATCATATATATGTATATTTTCAGTCTGAGTTGTCATTATAAACATTTCCTGTTATAGGATGCTTTCAGTTATTTAAATAAGACTTTGTTTGCCTGAGTACTTGTGTTGCATTTGAGTCCAATTAACCGACGTGACAAACTTTTACATTCTGAGATTTAAAGGTGCACTATACAAAGCTTTTCAACTCTCGCACCGTCTGGTCTTCATGGAAAATGGTGCCAGAAATGCTCCATATGGTATTAAAGCTGCCATCTGTACTTTTTTTTTGTTTTTTTGTCCGGTGTGAAACCTGCCCTTTCCCCTCTCCTCATGACCTTTGTTCAGGCTCACCTGTGTGTGTCTCTCAGGTCTTCTTCTCTCAGGCCAACTTCTGTCAGGCATACCACAGTGGTAACACAGATGAGAAGTACAAATGGGAGCCGTATTATACTCTATCAAACAATAATTCAGTTCCAAGTATGTCTTCAATGAACGTTAGGTTACCTCGCCACAGATCTGAGTTGTAACTTGGACTACAGGCATCATCTGCATGTCTCTGGAAACCAGTGCCAGTGAAAAATGCCAGTGAAACATTCTTGGCAAAGCACTTACATCAACCAAGAGACAAGCAGGTGGTGGACCCTCAAAAGTTACATAGTGCACCTTCAAGAGGACTAGGATGATCTTTTGTCTAAATGTAGTTTATTTTAGATGCAATGAGAATGAATGCACTGAGGTTTTGAATAACTGTTTGACTGTGATTCTTAGTGTCAAGTGTGAACCTCACAAATGAGCACCAAATGGTGGCTGATTGGCAGTAGCACTTTCACACAACAAAAAATCCAGGTTTGATGAGCAGAGAGGATGTGTCTATGGAGTTTACATCTGTCTCTGGATATATTTCCTTTGGGTGCTCTGATGACTCCCAATCAAAAACAAGTAAAATAGATCTGATCAAGTCATTGTGGCTCTAAACCTCCATCTTAGGTTCTCCAGACCAAACCTCAGTCTAGAGATGGTCCATGGGTGCTGCATTGCATGTGGCTGCCCACTGCCCCTGTCAGGTCTCCCCAACAGTTCTGAAGAATGGGTCAAAAACAGAGGAAAAAATCTTCCTTTATAGACACAATAAAGTATACTTATATAGGGCTCCAGTCACGCAACAGGCCCTGGAGTATATACTGTACCTAGTACGTTATTGATTTATGTTTGAGTACATTTTGTAATTTAAGTAAGTGTGGCACCTGAAAAGGATCAATATTTAATTTCTTGTCTCAGAATATGGAGGACTATTACCATAGTTATATAGTCTGGACAGAGGGCCCTCTCTGAAAATGTGAGTGATGGATGACTCTATCATCTTGTCAAAAACTTCCAAGTCATCACATCAACACAACTTTACAACTTGGGTTGTCTCACCATTCTATTTTTTCTTACACTATATTAGCCTATAATGGAAACTTAATGTGAAATATTCTATGTATTCAGAATACAGTCCTTTAATTGGACCATAAATATCAAGCAATCAAACTTTATCCTTTAGAAAGCGCATTAAAAAATATAACACAAAGTGCTTTACAGTGATTAAAAACAATCCCTCATTACCATCCACCCACCTACCCAGCCCCCACAGCTGCCCGACCCCACACAACCAAACAACCCACACACACACACACACACACCCCCACACACACAAACATGCTAAAATACATAAAACTACACATAGTCAAATGTAAGAGTGAATACAGATGAACCAGTTGAGAAAGCACCATCAGAGGAGTCATCCACCACCACCAAGAACCGCCACAGGGCCCAGGGTAGAGGTGAAGCCCAAACACCATCCCTCCACCAGGACACAGGGCCCAGGGGAGAGATGACGCCCAAACACCATCCCTCCACCAGGACACAGGGCCCAAAAGAGAAATGAAGACCCAAACACCATCCCTCCACCAGGAGCCCAAGGGACAGGCCCTGGCAGCTGCAGCTGACCACTGCTCCTGGGGCAGAGGGCTCCTACAGAGGAAACATGTAACAGATATGTTACATTTTCAAGTATTTTTCATTACACGGGTTATGGTGGCATAAGGTATAGGATAAGGTATCTTGAGGGCCACTGGATTACTCTCCAAGCCAATTAATATCTTACATTTATTATTATAGCCTCAAGAGGCTCTCTCAGAATAGACTAAACACAGCTCATGTGTGCTTGAGTGGTTATAGCACTTAGATGGTGTGGATGTGATGCCCGAGAGTAGCTGTTTCTAGCTCCCCTTCACCCCGAAGCTTTGTGTGCTTCAGTGACCCGCTCACCTCAGGTCTGAGGAGGGGGAACATTGGATTTCATTTGAGATGAGCCACACCCTAATGTCTGTAAGAAAGGAGGGATAAAGTGCACAGGGATTTACAGATGAGGATGTGAATGTGGCTAGACTGAATTTTTTCATGCAAACTTAAAGAATGGGTCTAGATATAGTTATGAGATCCAAGGGACTCCCCTTATTTGATATGTGGAAAAAAAGAAAAAAAAAAGTATCTTAAAGGTGCATGAACTTTTCTGATGTGAATGGGCTTGTGCCAGTGAAGATGCATTAAATGCATGTTTTACAAGGTATTTTTAGCAATAAAACACCTATAATTGAATCAATTCATATGGAATAATATGGAATATTCCACCCCAGAAGAGAAGATATACTTTTCACAAAAGTTTTTTACCCAATCACCCAATAACCTAATGTATTATAGAAATCAAAAATACAAATATATTGGTATTCTTCATGATCTGAAATACTGTGCTAAAAATGACACTAAAACTAAACTACAAATAGAAATGATTGAAATGAATACTGAAAATTATTCTATTCAAAGTCATCATTACTGAAATGACAATGTGGGTGAACTTTATAAATCTTTCATTGAAGGCACAGAAAATACCTGGCCAATATAAAACGCCAAACCAATGTCTTTACATTTTCACGCACATGTGCCTTTCCCTCACACAGATTCACACAGTGTAGCAGACCTGATTATGATTGTCATAACTAAAAGTGTCAACAGTGACTGTTTATTTAACACCAGTCACTAACTCATAAATACCTGACCACACAGAAGCTTTGTGTAGGTCACACTGTACCTCCCCATGAGACACACTGTCGTTATGGGCAATAAAAGTCTGAAGAATGTCAAGAGCCCTATTCACTTTATAGCCACATTTCATCAACCGGCCCAGTTAATACTGGCCCTTTACACCAATCATCTGTCCCTCTTACACTTTTTACATTATTTGTGATGCTCAACTTCTTGTATGATATTAGGAAACCAACACACAAAACACATCTCACCCTGAGAAAGTCAATAGTGGCACACTACATATGATGTACATAACAACTCCCTTTCACATCTGTTTCTGTTTATGATGTAGGCTGTTTTAGTTGCAATATGAGTAAACATATTCTGTGACTGGACTAAACATGAAAAGTGATTTTGATTAAATTTCTTGCTCATTGGGTTTAAAGATTGCACAGCATGCGTTGCATTTGAGTGTAAAAGTTTAATTTCATGCCCAAAAGAGCACAAAATCAGAGGTTTGACTTTGATTAATAAGCGGAGGTCTTCATTTTGAATCTTTCAGTGCTTTGACCCCATGCACCTGCTTAATGTCAGTAATGGCCATTTTAAGGTGTGAAAATCAGTGAAAAGTTTATATCACACAAAGTAGTAGTTAAGAACAAACAACATGTTATTTTTTCATTTGTTTTACCATCAGTGATTCTGTTCTGCCACCAGTGTAAGCCTGATACAGCAGCTGCAGAGAACTCACAAAGTCATATATACCATCTGTCCTATAATAAATATCACTTTGATATCCATGTAAGTGCATGTATTAAAAGAACAGAATAATTCACAGAAGGGTATGATACTGGGTGAACTTATCATTGTGGTATTTTCCTAGTGATACTTGTCCCCAGTTAATCCTGTATTCTAAATCACGGTGACACAAACTCAATGAAACAGAATATATATACCAATAGTTAAGAGGTGCCTAAAACCTTCAGGAGCTAAAGGCAGGACACTTATTGAATAGACAGTTCACACTTGAAAACAATCTTTTACGCTACAGTTACACATTACTTAGTATTATTAAAAGCGTAATTAAATCCATCTTAGCTTGATTGAGTAAAACTATTATCTATCCACAGCCCTGCAGCAGCTCAGGACTACTCTCTCTTGGACATTCTAGGTTTTTCTGCAGCAAATATACAGAGGATGCGCCAAGTAATGAGTCTGATTAAAATAAATGAGAAAATCCATTTGTATCTTTGCCCATCCTCTCCTCCTTCATCGAGATCTACAGCCTTAATGGACTCCACTGTGCTGAAGCCTGCATGCTACATTACTCTCTCCGCTATATGGTTTTAACTACATTCTTTTTACTTTTTACTCTAGAAATAAACAACGATAGTGATCTAGTTTGTCATTAATCATGAAGCAATAAGGCACGCAAGAGATCCCGCAAGTCATGGTTTTAATTAAAAATATGTAACTTCCTAGTATCAGTTTTGACAACAACATATGGCAAAAGGCAACAAGTCATCCAACACTTCCCACTTATATTTCCCACATGATTTTGAGTTTTTTTGACCTTAGCTGCAGTTTTTACATCCTTTAGTTTAATTATGACTATTTTAAGAATCCATACACGTTCGCTTTCACCTGCATCCTTACCCCCAATTAGACTTGTAGCAGGAAGAACATGTGTTTTTAGATAATAAGCATTGAGGTAACCAAGCCTGTTTCAGCAGAGGCCTACAGGGGGCAGTAGAGCTCCATCTTGGTCTGTGAAATTCTTTGCCTCTAACGCTGGCCCACAGAACGTTTGGACAAATAAATGCCGTTACTTTCACAAAATTACATTTGAAAAATATATTTAATTATTGTTTAAATGTAATTTCAGCAAGAGACATTTTGCTTTTGCATGTTACAAAACCTGATGAAATGATTAGAATTGAAATAGGACAATTACGTTATTTAGTACAAAAGATACAACTGTTATAATATATTATTTTACTTGTAGTTTACACTGAATAGGCAGAATATTATAGCTACTAACAGGTGAAATTACCTCTTCATTCTAATGCCAGTCAGTGGACATGATCTTCTGGAAAGACCCTGTTGTCCTCAAAGTTGATATACAAGAAGGTGGATACAATTAAAGTTTCTATAGTACACAAAATTAACTGTTTTGTTGCTTTAAGTCATGTTAGAATGTTGCAACCTCCTCAAAAACAGACCTGGAGTTGTGTTTTGTTTCATTCACACATGATTGAGTACTCCCGCATTACTAATCTGTCTACACCCCCCAAAGATCAAAATGGTTAGCCAGGCTGGCGCCACCTAGTGTCTCCGCTCAATTTAACTTCTCTCCAGAGACTAGGTCAGGAATCGGAATACACTGGACGGTTTGCAAGACCCCTGGAAGTGCGAGTCCAGGCACCAGCCAATCAGCGAAAAGCCATAAATTTTGTGCTGGCAACAATTCAAGAGATCGAGGATTTATAACCAAATAAAGAGAATGTTTGGTGAATTTTATCAAGGGGAAAGATGTTATTGCCCTTCCTCCTACGGGATTTGAGAAAAGCTTAATATACCAGTTAGCCCCGTTAGTGGCATTACAGACATCATTGCCAAATAGCAGCGATTGGTTAAATAAAGTACCCGCCTACCGTCGAGCAAACAAATTCTAATGCTGCGAGGTCAGATAGTTTCCACGAAGTGAACCTGACTGATGAATCGGGCTACAAAATGGTCTCTTCCACCTTGTGATTTCATGAAGTGGTAGTTTTCAGCTACCTTTTACCTTTCTTTAGTAGAGATCAGCAATTCCAGGGCTGATGTTTATGCGTTAAACGTGTGAATGAAACAAAACACAATCCCAGGCATACTTTTGGACAAAACATTATAACATAGATCATAAAATAACATAATATGGGCCCTTTAAAGTGTGAAGAATTAAAGCTACACTATGTAAATTTTTGGGCTCACCAGCTGTGTTTTAAAAGGGATATTTCAACAATAAAAACACCAGTAATGAAATAAATGCAAGACTAATATAATTAATACCATTCTGGGTGGGTAACATTCCAAGCAAAGCAACATCTCCATGGAAACAAGCGGATGGTGAAACAGTAAAATGTAAAAGTTACATAGTGCAGCTTTAAGTATTGACTAGAAAACTGAACCACATCGCAGCTCTTGTGACGTGTTCAAAAACTGCAGTGGTCTCTGTCAGAAATGGTCCATAATACCTATAGGACGAGGTAAATCAATGGGTGTTGGTGAAACGGCATGCGAGACCACAACATCTTACATAACGCCCAGGAACTGACAGGTCATGACAATGCTGTGCCTAATCAGAATATGAGTCCATTTTAGTTGAATGTAGATGCACTAATTACGCAACCAGACTGCATTGGCGTGTGCAGTTTGGATCTCCCTGTCCTCATCACTGTCATTTGGGGTCTAAATAAAATAAATATACATATGCGTTGGTTGGAGGTGTTTCCTGGACTCCGTGGGCTGGGGTCTGCTGTGAGTCAGTCTCCTCGCCCTCCCACTCGGTCTCTGGGAATGAGGCGCAGCTCCGAGCCGTGCTTCAGAAACACGCTGCCTGCAAGCACAGAAGCAACACAGGGAATAATTAAAGGTGAAGCATGAGGAGATGAGGTCAAAATGGGTTTAAATGACACATTGTATATAATAAAAATACATTATCCAGTAAAGGACAGTGCTTGTTAAGTTTGTATTATAAGACATTTTAAAGTTTGAGTTCTGTCAGAAGTTACTACCCATAAAGAATACACTACCTTAATACACCTAACTCATGTGCAATGAAATGACACATAATGATTTGTAACACGACCCATCTAACGCCTAATCCTATATGTTATCACTAGTTATTACTTCACTTATCAGTTCACTTCCTTCACTGTAAAATAGAGTGTAACCTATAATTTAATTGAACAAATCTGAGGTAAGGTGAAGTTTTTTGGTGTATGGGTGATAATTACTCTACCCCATGACAGTGTAACCATTATGACTAGATTATAGTGGCACTTGTTCCATCTTTGACATGCTGCTGTCATTCAATTGTTGGAACAAAATGGAATGAATATATCTCTTGTTCTACAATTATACTGCCATTTTCTCTGACCGTGATTTTAGACATTTTAGACTTTAGACATTTATTTTTTTTCAAAGGACAACACATATTCATAAAAATACATGCAAATATGACAGAATTAGCCAAATGACTACTTCCCAACTGTAGTCCCTGCAGGTCAAGAACCTGTTTACATTTTACAGACTCAAACCCAGTTGAAGTTTTGATTGTCATATACAAAAGCCATCATCACTATATGTTCTCCAGCTCAAATCATTAAAAAAAGTATAGGAGCCTGAGTCACCCCATGCAATCACAGAAAACTGCAGTAGGAGTGTGACATGTCGGGTGGGAAATAGGTGGGGCAATTACTCTTCAGTATGGGTGACAGGAGACCCAAGCACCATAGTGAATGTCCAGACCAATTACACCTCCTCCATTTGGCTCAGAGGGTGCATACTAGTTTTTTCTCCAAATGGTAACTAGATTTGTAATCTCCATTTAGGTAGCCTGTACATTGCAAGTTTTCTTTCTTTAATTTATGGATCATCCATAGGCTTGCCCAGTGCTTCTCCACAGTTGAAGGACGCTGCAGTGAATTAAAGAAGGCGATTTGACAGAGGTGTCTGCGCTGAGGCTATTCTGGGCCCACACAGTGTGAACAGATAAGAGCAGCCGTGAGAGCCCCCTACCAGCTCTGCACTGATGATGGAGGAGGACCTAATCAGAAGCACGCCTTTAGTCAAATCTGGCATTATCATATACACTGCGGCGAAAATCTAACGGAGTGTTGTGCATATTTGTTGAAAGTCATGTCACAAGAAAAGGCAAGTATAAGCAAGAATTCCCAGGCTGTATAATAGCAAACAAATGATAAAAGAGCTGTGAGCGCAAACGTCGGCTCCTGTCTGGGGTCAGTTTTAATTGAATCTTACATTAAAAGCAGATTCTTGGGGCAACACATTTATATTCATGAAATCAGTTATCACCATTTCCATATAAACAGCTCAGAGGCCGACTCAGACACACAGACCTTTAGGTTCAGGGAGATTTATTTTGTTCATGGAAAAACAAGAACACCCCAAAATGTAAAGTTAAAAATGTGTGGGAGTTTAACATCACATCAGTTTTATTCAGCAATGTTCAACTGCACTAATTACCAACAACAATATGACCAGCTACTGAGGAGTCAGCCCAATGTGTGACAAACTGGGATGCACTGTGTATTTAACTTTCTACTTAACAGACCACTGTCACAATGATCCACACATGGTAGAGGGGTTGTCATCTTGCTACAGTATGAATGAGGTGTGGGTGAGTGCGTTTGGGGCTGGCTGGAAGGGTTGAAGGTGCCGACTGGCAGCCATGTCTAGTTTATCATTTAGAACCAAGGCAGCTGTGGCTTCAGTATGAGCATGTGGAGAGTGAATGAATAATTCAATGTAAGATGCTTTGGATACTCTGAAAGGTGTTGTATAAATTCAAGTCTGTAACTTTTACTAAATAGACCAGCCTTGGATGGAAGACTATTGACCATAAGACCCCACATGCAGTGCAGTTTTGCAGAGATTCTATGGCCTTGCTATTTCCCGTATTCAAATAAACTTTGAGGGAGAAATGTTCACTTTCAAGGCAAGACTAAAAATGTTCATGGTCGTAGTCCTAGGGCTGCTCACATTTTTTTAGAGCATTAAAGATGAGCAGGTAGGGCTTTATCATAATTTCCTTTTAGCAAAATGAGGCACAATTATTACTTTTGAAAGCATAAAAGGAACCAGAACAAAACTCATTTATGTGGCCTGCTTTTTGATTCCAGTATTAATGCTTAAGCTATTACTAAGAAACGATGCTCAGATTTGACTAAAAGCACTTACACTAAAGTACTGTGTAGTGAGCTCTTTAGCACATTAAGTACTTTAATACCACTAAACAGAAGGAAAAAATATGATTCTTTTTATTAAGGATTTTGTAAGGAAAAAAGGATCTTTTTATACATTGTCAAAAGACTTTTCAACTCACCTGCCATCTGTGCAGGGTTAATTCCTATTCCATCTGCAAAGAAAGATAAAAAACATAAGATTTTAAAGAGCAAATGGACATACAGTAGTAGCCAGTTCAAATGTATTTATGCTGAGGCTGTGTTTGAAAAATACAGTTCAAAGCAATACCAAAAAAATCCTATGATGTTTTTACTTTGAGAGGACAAAAAGCATATGGCACTGAGATTAATAACGTCACAGAGAGTGAATAACTGATCAGCTCAGGCAGTAAACAATAGTCCTTTTCTGACAATAACACTGTAAACACCAGAGGGATTTGCCAATAAATAAGTGTTAAATTGTTCTTCTAAATGTCTAAGCTGTGTCAGAGCAGAACAGCTATAAACAAAAGTGTTGTTTTGCAGCGCGCCTTAATTGATGGGGAAGAGAAAATAAATTGTCAATTTTCCAACTTCTGATAGTCACAGAAAATTATAGTCATTTCATGCCATGGCTTAGTTAGAAATGTTTACTCTTGAATGTATATTTCCACTTTTGCCAAGGTTTCTGCCCTGCATTTGTGACACAATTTTATACAGCTAGTGAGCATCAGTGACAATGATGTAGTGAGCTTAAAAAAATAGTTTGCATTTAATCTCTAAATGTAGACTTGGCAAGGGACAAATATCTTACTTTCTCAATAAGCAGATTCCCTTGCAAAATGTACTGACATTTCTTTGCTTTAAGTTTTTCTGTGCATGAGCGATGTCAGCATTAGAAAGTAACCTACATGATACATTACTTATTTCATAGGTAATTCAATTAGATAGAAAGCAAAAAAGTCAAGTTGTATGGCTCAGAAAAGTAGACTACACTATTTCATCAAAAACATACCTGGCATTGTGTTTTATTTCAATCACACATTTGAGTAATCCTTTATCATTAGTCTATCTACATCTCCAAAGCTCAAAATGCTCTGTTCCACCTTGTGATGTCATGAAGCAGTAGTTTTCAAGTTAACAGCTACTTTTTACTTTTTGTTTATTACAGATTGGCAATTCCAGGTCTGAAATTATCCAAATGATTCTAGTGAAGGTGTCTAGAGTTTAAAAACACAGTGAAGCTCTTCCTGTATCACATGACATCACAAGGTGGAATGGATTGTTTTCTGTTTGAGAGTGAATGAAACAAAACACAACTCCAGTTATGTGTTTGATGAGGAAACAACATTATAACATAAAACGGGAAATAACGTAATATAGGCCCTTTAAGACATAAAGCGAACAATGTTGCATGTCTTGTGCCCTAAACTTACCATTTGTTATAATCGCACTAGTAGCTGCAGGCACTTTGAACTGTAACAAAGAAAAAACATATTAATTAGTCCCAACCCACAGATAGACTGAACAAATTGGAAAAGCATTTTGAGACATGTTCCTTTCTAATTCCACTTTGCCAGAGGACATTGTGACAGCGAGATTGTAATAGCTTTTGACAATTTTACATTCAAGCTGAGATATCATTGTTTAGCATGAGTAAAAAATAAAACTGCTACTCTGTGTATTTAGGGGGTCTTTGCTGTCCAACTCACACAGCTGCCAGACAAACAGTTGGATGTGAGCCCGAGGGAACAATTGCCACGCTTAAAATCTCTATAGGATAAAATGAGTATACACAGCCACACAACATGTCCTTCTTCAGTGTGGAACAGAGAGGAGACGAGTGGGCAGCCGGATTCACACAGAGCTCAGAGAGAAGGAGCAGTCTGTCTCTGGGAAGATAAGTTAAACCGCTGGTACAGTACAGTGGATGTACAGCAGCACACAAGGACAGTGGCCAATGAAAGTGTACAGAAGACTATTGTGAAAAAAAAAATATTTAAAATATACAATAGTTGATTAATATAAGCATGTTTTTAATTCAAAGGACTGCATTCATGGAAGGAAAATGTATTTTACCAATCATTTTAAAGCTGTGCAAAAAGAGTTTGCTAATCAAGCTCTATGTTCAGAGAAATAAAGCAATGACCAACAATCTTGCTTCATAGTTTATGAAATGATAGTTAAAAGTTAAAAATAAGACACATTTAGCATTTTAAAAGATAAAATATGTAATACATTTTCTAAGAAATAATATAATGCATGGCTCCACGAGAACAAGACAAGAAGATATATAAGCATAAATACTTTTTGTTCATTTCTTCCCCATTGTGCTTTTTCATATCAGAACATATTTCTTCTAAAATATTTTCAGTAAAAGGATTGGTTCCAACATGGCAAAATATATATATATATATATATATATATATATATATATATATAATATATAATATATACAGTCCCTGACAAAAGTCTTGTTGCTTATCCATTTTGTTGAAACAAAAGCTTATAACCTGACTTTAATCGACCCCAGTCTACAATCTACCCCCAGACATGCTCAATGATGTTCATGTCTGGTGACTGGGCTGGCCAGTCCTGGAGCACCTTGATCTTCTTCGCCTTGAGAAACTTTGATGTAGAGATAGAAGTATGCGATGGAGCACCATCCTGCTGCAAAATTTGACCCCTTTTATGGTTGGGAATGTAAGAGGTAGCTAATACTTCTTGATATTTTAGGCTATTGATATTTGCCTTCCACCCTGCAAATGTCTCGCACAGCCCCATACTGGATGGAACCCCAGACCATGATTTTTCCGCCACCAAACTTAACTGTTTTCTCCTGCAATATTTGCGGCGGCTGAGATGTAATTCAACCGAGGATTCATCTGAGAAATCCACCTTCTGCCACTTTTCCAGTGTCCATCCTTTAAGCAGGCTGTGGGCCTTGGCAAATGCCACATGGTTTTTTTAAATGCCTTTTGTTTAGTGCTGGTTTCTGTGCACTGATTCGACCATGGAGGCCATTTCAAGACAGAATTCTACAAACTGTTGTGGTTGACACAGGGACTTGAGGTGACCAGGCCTAGGTGGAGCTCTGCTGCAGTGGAAAAGGGGCTGGCCTTGGATTTTCGAATCAACAAACGGTCCTCCCGAGCAGTTGTCTTGCGGGGTCTGCCGGACCTGGGCTTGTCAAAAACATCTCCAGTCATTTCAGATCTTTTTCTTATTCTTTGTACTTGACGCTGAGACACATTGAAGGTGTCAGCCACCTCAGCAGTGGATCTGGTCTTCAGCCTCTTGATAATTAACGCTTTGGTCTCAGGGTGGATCTTAGGCATGTTGTCAGAGGTCAAGTTGCAGTTGTTGTGAAGGTCTGGTTCTGCTGGGGTTCTTTTTATACACACCCACTAATTGACTGATCAGTAACTGATCACAGGTGAGGCTGTAATCTAGGATTGGGTGCATCATATGACAAGGCAACAAAACTTTTGTCTTGCCAAAATCTGACCTTTCTGTGTTCATTAAATGATCAATCTTTCTTCAGTGAAGCTAATTTATTTTAGTATATTGAGCATAATTTGGGAGGGTTTTAGCTTTCATATGAGACATTTCTAAAACCAATCGATTAATTTAAAGTCAGGTTATAAGCTTTTGTTTCTACAAAATGGATAAGCGACAAGACTTTTGTCAGGGACTGTATATATATATATATATATACACACATGATCCCATCCCTAGAATATAAGCCATTTTTATGAATTCATAAAATGGGGGGCATTTACCTCTTCAGCAGCAAATTTCAACACAGCTGTGAAAGGTGTGCTCTCTGGTACACTTAAACTGTAAAGCAAAACAAAGAGACATTACAAACTGCATTACTATTTGACACATAGCAAGTGAGCAAGTCTGCAGACAGTGTAGTAAGATATATGTCAAAGACCACTGGCTATGCAATTTTCTATTAAACGACATTCCCAAATTACCATGACTCTAGACCAAATTCGATTTAAGTGAACTAAACTGGTTTCAACCTGCTGCCAACCCCGGCCAAATGTGCCTGTGCAGCGATGTGAGTGCAGTTCTGCTGCTGACTATCACCATGAGTGAAAAGAAACAGGGAACAGTTCCTCCCGGGGCTAAATGAGTAGAACATTATTTCTGTCAGAGATGTTTCTATGGGGGGATGTGAGACCATTTAAGGAGCAAATGGTGATACATGCTGCCAGCCGAACGCGTCACTAAAGTATTGAGGCTGTGGTTTGAAGAAGGGAGCAACGCACTCCTCAAAGATGGAACACACAAAACAGCACTGAGCATTCATAACAGAACTGAGCTTAAACAAAATAGAGATGATAACACCAAGTAAGGCAAGCAAAGCAAAATCAGGAAACTAAAATGCAGATTAATATAGCTGGGTTGGAGATCTTAAAAGGTGTGCTTATACCAAGGTTTGTGTTACTCTTAAATGCATTTGGTACACAATTGGCATTACTATCTACTTCCTCAATTTAATTCTGGTACAAGATCAGCGACCTGCTTGTCTCCATGAGGATGTTATTGCTTTGTCTGAAATGTTCCACAGTATGGAAGAGACCCCCACCCAGGAAAGTCTGATAGTGAATCTTTCTTTATCTATACCAATTTTGTTGATGTGTTACAGGTCACTCTTTAGATCAAGGATTTTTAAGGGAGTCTGTGCCTTTGAATTTCTTGATAGATTTTCATTTTACTAAAACTTTTCTTGATTTTATCTAGTTTTGTAGTACTGAAGACTTAAACAATCTGCTTAATTACATTGCCTAAGCTTCAAAAACCCAATGCGGGTGCTTTAAGTGAATGTTAATATTTGAATGCAGCTAGTGATTATGAAAGAGCACGGATGGACTGTATCCTGATTTTCTGCTGCCAGAACCAATGCCATTTCTCATTTACTCATTATCACTTCACAGTTCATGCAGAGAAATTAGCCGCAGCGGGTCCTGACTAAATTAAAGAGATGGCTCCTTCTGAGGTCTTGTGAGGACATAAATGGTTTTATTGCCCACAAGATGATGGCAGTGACTAAAATCACTATCTGTCACTGACACTCTAAAGAGAATCGGAAACAGGCAGTGCATATTATTCTGGGACATTCAGAACTGCACAGATGGCATTTAAATGGTTTATAATGAACAAGAATTTGACTACTAAAAAGAAACATTTTGCTATGCTTAGTAATTAAATGCCTTCTAGCAATGTTTTTCTTATATTGTGCAGCCTTGGTTCAGATCTTTTGAACAGTTACCCAAGATAAACACCAGCATGGGGGTGACGAAATCATGTCTATTTGCAAATGTTATGTTACACCATATGGTGAGTCACTGAGACAAACGGGAGTGGGAGAAGAAAGAATCATTTTGTTAAGTTAATAAACAAATCAATGCCAGCACTATTCATTTATAGGGTTACTTAAAAACAGTAATAACCCAAAGCTCGTCGGTGTAATATAAGAAAAAACATCCATCCTTCTCCTCTTACAGCCCATAAACCGCATTTACATGTTATGCGGTTAGGGGGTGTGTGAAAGCATAGATTTCACAAAATAGTTCTACAATCTATACGTAAAAACGTGTAAAATGAGCGCTATGAATGTGAAGTAGAGACATCAGTGCTTGTGTACAGTCCATGGTGCTGAGCTGTCACTGTTACTCACACTTTGAATGGCAGCCGGGGGTCCGACGTTAACGTGATTTTAAACGTTACTTTGGACCTGATGAAACAAATAAAACAATATAAACACAGACACGCATGTTCGGTTATCAAAATTTAAAAATCTGAGGAAAAATTCGATGAAACAAAGCTTAAACTCACATGTTTTAGACGAGCCGACTCCACAGCCAATGTGTTTATCCAAACCCGGAAATGCGAAGGACCCAACGTACACGTCATCCATCTAGTTCTGATTTAGTTTTCATTTTTGTGAACTTCGGGGTTGGTTTATTGATACTAGATTCACACGTTTTGAATGTTAAAAAATAAAACAACAAAACGTATATATTTATTGTGATTTTCAGTACAAAAATTATGTAATTGCATTCAGGCGTTTTGTCTGTACCGTAAGTATAAATACATGTGCGCAACAAATTTTTTTGGTGCACGTTTTAGGTCTTAAACATAGATCCATTATTTCACAGTAACAGACTTTTTATATACAGTCAATGACATGTTAAATGAGGTAAGCCGACGTGAGTATTTTATTTTATTAAATTTTTTATTTCTTAATTTTTTTCATCAACATGTGTACCAAAAATGAAATCAAAAGACACACAGGCACGCTTGTTCTCCCATGTACTTATAAAAACTTCACTTGGCCTGGCAAGAATTGAATTATTTTACTTTACCAATGCTTTCTATTTAGTTATTTTACGTCACAAAATCACACAGAAGGATTCTTTTGACTGTCCTCTTTGAAAAACAGGGTAAGATTTCAGCCTATTTTTGAAATGATAAGTTATTGTACCTACCTAGATTTAACATTTAGTCTATAATCATAATCAATCTTTGAAATAAATACACTTTAGTGAAATGTTTCAATGGGTATTTGCATTTTAGTAAATCAAATGCCACTTTCCTGAGCTAACATTGTATTAAACCACAAAACATACCTGTAACTCTTGATCCTTTGTTTAAGATTCATGACACGCAGTATTGAGCAGGATGTATGATGAGAGATCTATTTTGAGTACTCATTAACATAGCATAAGCAGATTGCATAAAATGAAATCTGGATTGGCTGCAGATAATCAGAAATCAATGATAACAGCTTATTATGAATGCATGTGCATACTCACTCACTTCAATGGGACCACATCAATAAATTAAAATGTTGTCGAAAAGCCCATATAGTTCAGTAGAAGTGGAAGGCACCTCCAATTGGCACATGGCAAAGTACCCTATGGATATTCATTTTAAAATTATTAACATTATTTGCATAGAGAGAGACTGAATTATGTTTTATATTGTGCTTGAGCTTACATCCATTGTATCCTGCATTCCAAAATGTGGCCGAATCCAAATTTAACCTTTTTGTTGATGAAATATGTATGTAATTTACCAACATTTTGAAGGGGTGAGCTTGAATCATTGATGGGATCTGTCCTGTTTGTTTTAAGGGCTGCAGATGTCATGGCAACCTCAAGACCTCCCCTCCAAGCAAACACACATCTGTTTGATATTCAGTGTACTCAAGTCCACGAAACAATCACCTTGGTTCATACGACATTCTGCTGCTACTCCTACACAACCAGGACTTCATCTTTCCTCAAGGACGGTAAAGTAGAGTGTTTAGAGATTGTTATAATCTGAAACATTTTTCAAAAACATGTAAAGAGAAATTGAGTTTTCTTAAGCATTTTTCTTTTTGCCTGAACTGCATCTAAGGACATTTTAACAACACAATATTAACGGAAGGTCATTATAAACAGCTGAGATCCTTCCTCTGATTGAGCCTGTGTGGAGCTTTTCCATTATTATTGTCTTAATAGGAGCCGTCCCTTCTTCACATGCTGCTACTTCAGAGTCCAGGGTGCTGCTACTTAAGCAGGATTTAATGCCCTGGCTCCCACTTACCTCACACTTAAGAGAGAGCCAGGTCAGACATAGTTACACATGGTTCATGAGGACAGCTCCAAATCTCAGCACTAACACTGCCATAAAGTTGTCAAATTGTCGCCACAGTTTTTACCACTTTTACCGCTAATAGCACTTTGAATGCTAATTACCAGCTAAGCACAAAGCTCTATTGTGTCATCAAGATATGTGACACATCTATAATTATTCTGGTGAAAGTCTACAATATTGGTTGTCTGCTTAAAGATTATGTAACTTTTTTGTTAGCATATCCGCCACCTGCTTGTCTCCATGTTTGTGCTTTGTCTGCACAGTTTCACAGTGTGGCATTATGGAACATTTCAGCCAAAATAAACACATATGAGAGTAGACAAGCATGTGGCAGACCCCTTATTTAATGGTTACACAATCTACCTTTAAATAACAGCAATGAAATTAAAGGGAGCAGCTATGCCTATGGTCTGTTAGTTTTGTCTTGCTGTTAATAATTAATGGTTGTAATAAACAGATCAGCCCTCAATTATGTCACTGTGAGCAATTAACCTGTAAAGGTGATTTGATTCCTGCTGTGATCAAAGATTAAGGTGATCCTGTTAGATGAGATCATATTACCATATAATTTCTACTTTTTCTCTTAGTGTTAAAATGACTCACCTTAACTTGTATTTGATCTTTCCATCACATTTTTAATAAGCAAGTGAGGTCAGGTTTATCAAATATTCTTTCTTGCTCCTGCAGGAAAACCTGTCCAATGGACAATTCTTTTCCAGACCTTCAGCAAAGATTGTGGTGAGCAATAAGCATGTTTTATTTCATTGCAATGTTATTGATAGCTAAACCTTGTGCCAGCTATTGTCCTTTGACAGAACAGAGGTGAAACCTGGATGAATTAGTTGAGTTAAACTGCTGTTTTATTTTGCATGTTTCATAAGATCACATCAGTGCCCCCATAGACTTGGTGGGTGTAACTCAATCGGAAACAAACTCTCAAGTGAGCCCCCGGGGGACCAATCGCAGCGTCACCCTCTCCTCTGTTTACCTCCTTTACATAATCCTCAGAAGCAGCTCGTGGTCGTAATTAAGCACAAGCAGGGAGCAGCATCACTTGTGTTGTGTTGACATTGGGTTGGCTTGATAAACAGGCTTTTCTCACAGAGTATCATCTCTACATATGAAACTGCATAAGTTCAAAAGGTTGTAAGTTATGTTCAGGTGAAGTACAGTATTTATTATGAGAAATACAGTATTTATCACCATTACTAGTTAACATAGCAAGTTATCACTAAGAAGAGTGCATTAGTTTGTGGTATATAGAATCAAAATTAAAACTAGTGTCAAAACCTATATATATATATATATATATATATATTGGTAATGAAAACTTGTGGTTATTAAAATCATTAGTATCAAAGTGTCAAGCCTTGTTGTAACTTGTTACCATGAAAACAAGTGCTTTTGTTTATTGCTAATACTACAAATTTGAATGTCACTTACCTGTACTCAATGCACACTTCAGAGTTACATTTAGTTCATTTCGGTCCATCTAGTAAAATAGAAACTTGTTGGAGTCAAGGTGTGTTTGAGGAGAAAAGAAATCAGTTTGGTATAGCCTAAGCAAATTCTACCTGTCAACATTTATGTGGATTTTAGACTTAGCTAAAGCATTTCTAAACTGTCATTTTGTGATGTTGTGCCACAGCCACAAATCCATCACAAATAATAGCAACAAAAACATATTTATCACAGAAACATATTCAAAGGCACACACTGCAACCAAAACGTAATGAAGCGTTAAAAGATAAATTAATACAATTCACGGTCCACGGGTTCAGGAAATAGGGAAAATAACCTCAAAAATCACTCAACATTATATACTGCCCTGACATTACTCTCTGAAAGATGCCTTATTTATCAGTATGAAGAAGCTTTACGACTTATAATCTAGGGTCATACCATTTGCAATAGACGAGAGGGACATAAGTTAGGTTGAAAGCATTTTTGAAAACTACATATATCTATTACAGTGTTCAGAATAGGTGTGTGAAAGCGGAGACTTGAAATGAGGTCAGGTCGAGCTAATGTGCAGGGATGGGTGAAATTAAAGGTTGTGAACGTGGTAAGATGTGGAGAGAGTGAGTCAGGTACGGGAGGAAATTATAGTGGCACAGAAAAGATGGGCACTTTTATTCTCTTGGTGATCTACAGCCTCCACTCTCCAAAATTACCCTTCTGCAATTTATCAATGACCATGCACCTGTCCGCTTGTTCAACTCCACAAAGATCTGACATTTTTGGGAATTAGATTGTGTTCAAGTCAGATGGTCTTAAAAATGTCTTGAACCTAAATGTCAGACCAAATCATTGTGAATATGGCACTTCAGAATCAATAACAAATGTGAGGTTGTTTTTCTTGGCTCCAACTCATTGTAGAACTGTTACATATTTTACCAAATTAAACCATCTGTCAAGGCTCCTGTTGAACATGTTTGCAAAAGACAGTGACTCACAATGGCTTGAGGTGATCTTTAGTGAAGTAACTACATTTGAGGCACTCAGTCATTGTAACATTATGTATAAAGTGAATGACCACATGTTTCTATTCACATATGGTATTTATTAGAGATAGGCCAATATATTGGTTGACTGATATATCGGGCAGATATTTGCACTTTTTAGCAAATAAGCTATCGGCCTAAAATTTCCCACACAGGCTGACCTGCTGCTTAAAGCTTTATTTAAACACGTCAATGCAAATAGATAACTGCTCAAAATGTGACTATTTAGCACTCTTGAAAGTTTTTGGTTTGTGGTTAGAAATACATAATTTGGTGAAAATAATCAAAATCTCTACACACCGGCCCAAAAATATTGGTAGATATTATTGGCCATTGGTTGTTCTGGATTCTAAAGAATCTGCATCAACCATGAAAAAAACAAAACAAAAAAAACCCCACATATTGGCTGTTTCCTAGTATTTATGCAGGTTACTTCTTTGTTGGTGGGTTCTAATAAAATGAGTGTCTGGAAGCATGCAGTTGTGTTTGCCCACAGAGAGATTGACGAGGCCTCAAGCACCAATTAGTGTGTTGAGAGGAGTCTCCTCTCCTGCAGGGCCCATACATATCCAGCTATATTTACACAGCTACTGTACCATGATCAGCTCGATATGCAACTGGCGCCATAACAAAATGTACTTAAGACTTTTCCAAACTGCACCAAAATATGTTTTATAATTGTCTGTACCTGTCAAGTCCAATAGATACATTTAAAGTGCATTGTCTCTGAAATCAATAGAAACCTCATTACTGGAGCTAATGCTAAGCAAACGCTATACGGTGATTTGTCTTCC